CCTCCTTGTCCCACAGCTGGTTGGAAGGGCTGGGCTTTCTTGCCTGGCCCAAATCTCCCTACTCTTGTCAGGCTCTCACCTGCTCTGCTGCCCAGGAGATACATCTTGGATATCCCTTGGGAGAAAGCCAAAGAGTCCTCCTTGATAATCATTGTGCTGAGGAAGGTGGCTGGCAAAAAACTGCAGGAAAAATGACACTCACTGATGAGGAGAGAGTGGCAGGGACTGCCTGTCAAGAAATGGAGGGAGCCCATGAAGCAACTCACCAGGCAGAAGTCGTGGGCACAGAATCCATTTCTCTGGAGTTTTTCCCCGCAGGTGTCCAGGTCAGCCTCTGCTGGCTGACACAGCAGGCAATGCTGGAGGGGAGAGAGACAATGGCCATGGGCATGGACCCTGTGCTGCCCGCCCCGACAGCCCCTCTGCCAGGCTGAGGGAAAGGTACTTTGCTCTCACCTGGCTCCCTCCGTTCGGGGGCCTCCTCCTCCTCCCTGTCTGACATGGGACGTGTCAGTGGTGGGTCTCTGTCTCACCATCCCACTGGTGAGTGGAGCTCCCAGCACTGGGTGCTCTAACATGACTCCTGTCACAGCAACTTCTGGATCCGCTGGATGAATTTGGGATCCGAGGCTGGTGGTGGGAATGGTGTTGCCTTTGGGAAGACCTTGCTGCTGTCTTCCTTGGATTTTGCCTCGCAGCAGTCAGTGCTGGTGCACAGTTCCTGTCATGGGGACTTCTGGACCGTCCGGATGGATTTGGGGTCTGACGTTTCCGGTGGGAGTGGTTTTGCCAGCGGTCAGGTCCTCGACCACTGGAGCAGCTGCTGTCCTCAGTTTCTGTGAAGCTTTTCTGGGATGACCCTGATGTTACCTGACTGTCAGGGCTGGAGCTGCTCATCTCCTGTGAGGGAGATTCCAGAGACTGCTCCGAGTTGCCTGTTGGTTGGTATGGTGGTTGCTGGTCTCTGGTGCTGAAAATCCAGGGGATGGCACCTGGATGCTGGTGCTGGTGCTGGGTCTTGGGTTCCCAGGAGCCATCAGAAGGCTCCAGTCCTGACAGTCAGGCCATGCTGGGGCCAGAAAGCTCCAAGTCATCTGTGGAGGCTGGAAGGGGAAGCAGGAATGTCAAGGCCACCTCAGGCCCAGGGCAGGATAGGCCAGAGCAGTATCGCCAGTGCTCCTGGAGCAGACAGGCTCTGCCAAACCCACCCTGGGCACCTGCTGCCAGTCCCAGCCTGGCACCTGGCCAAGGGGCACCCGAGTGCTTTGGAAAAGAGGGTCCCAGCCCCAGGATGGCTGGACAGCTCCTGCCTCCCCCTGCCACCTCTCCCAGCCCCACGCTGGCCACCCCAACAGCCCCTCTGCCAGGCTGCGGGAGGGGCACTTTGCTCTCACCTGGCTCCCTCCCTTTGGGGGCCTCCTCCTCCCTGTCTGACATGGAAGAATCAGTGGGGAGTCCCTGTCTCACCGTCTGAGCGGTGAGTGGGGCTCCCAGCACTGGGGGCTCTATCACGCCTCCCGTCACGGCGACTTCTGGGTCCGCTGGATGAATTTGAGGTCCGACGCTGCTGGTGGGAGTTGTTTTGCCTTTGGGAGGTCCTGGCTGTTGTCTCCCTTGAGTTTCGTCTCCCAGCACTCGGTGCTGGCGTGCAGTTCCTGTCACGGGGACTTCTGGACCGGTAGGATGGATTTGAGGTCCGACTTTGGCGGCGGGAGCGATTTTGCCTGCGGGATGTCCCCGATTCTTCCTGGCTGGGAGTGCAGGTCTCAGGACTTGGTGCTGGCACAGGGGACCTGTCACGGCGACTTCTGGACCGAAGGCGTGGATTTTGCGACCGACGTTGCCGGCGGGAGCGGTTTCGGCTGCGGGATGTCTCTGATG